CGTGCGTGCATGTGTGTGTGCGTGCGTGCATGTGTGTGTGCGTGCGTGCATGTGTGTGTGCGTGCGTGCATGTGTGTGTGCGTGCGTGCATGTGTGTGTGCGTGCGTGCATGTGTGTGTGCGTGCGTGCATGTGTGTGTGCGTGCGTGCATGTGTGTGTGCGTGCGTGCATGTGTGTGTGCGTGCGTGCATGTGTGTGTGCGTGCGTGCATGTGTGTGTGCGTGCGTGCATGTGTGTGTGCGTGCGTGCATGTGTGTGTGCGTGCGTGCATGTGTGTGTGCGTGCGTGCATGTGTGTGTGCGTGCGTGCATGTGTGTGCGTGCGTGCATGTGTGTGTGCGTGCGTGCATGTGTGTGTGCGTGCGTGCATGTGTGTGTGCGTGCGTGCATGTGTGTGTGCGTGCGTGCATGTGTGTGTGCGTGCGTGCATGTGTGCGTGCGTGCATGTGTGTGTGCGTGCGTGCATGTGTGCGTGCGTGCATGTGTGTGTGCGTGCGTGCATGTGTGCGTGCGTGCATGTGTGTGTGCGTGCGTGCATGTGTGTGTGCGTGCGTGCATGTGTGTGTGCGTGCGTGCATGTGTGTGTGCGTGCGTGCATGTGTGTGTGCGTGCGTGCATGTGTGTGTGCGTGCGTGCATGTGTGTGTGCGTGCGTGCATGTGTGTGCGTGCGTGCATGTGTGTGCGTGCGTGCATGTGTGTGTGCGTGCGTGCATGTGTGTGTGCGTGCGTGCATGTGTGTGTGCGTGCGTGCATGTGTGTGTGCGTGCGTGCATGTGTGTGTGCGTGCGTGCATGTGTGTGTGCGTGCGTGCATGTGTGTGTGCGTGCGTGCATGTGTGTGTGCGTGCGTGCATGTGTGTGTGCGTGCGTGCATGTGTGTGCGTGCGTGCATGTGTGTGTGCGTGCGTGCATGTGTGTGTGCGTGCGTGCATGTGTGTGTGCGTGCGTGCATGTGTGTGTGCGTGCGTGCATGTGTGCGTGCGTGCGTGCATGTGTGTGTGCGTGCGTGCGTGCATGTGTGTGTGCGTGCGTGCGTGCATGCGTGTGTGCGTGCGTGCATGTGTGTGTGCGTGCGTGCATGTGTGTGTGCGTGCGTGCATGTGTGCGTGCGTGCATGTGTGTGTGCGTGCGTGCATGTGTGCGTGCGTGCATGTGTGTGTGCGTGCGTGCATGTGTGCGTGCGTGCATGTGTGTGTGCGTGCGTGCATGTGTGTGTGCGTGCGTGCATGTGTGTGTGCGTGCGTGCATGTGTGTGTGCGTGCGTGCATGTGTGTGTGCGTGCGTGCATGTGTGTGTGCGTGCGTGCGTGCATGCGTGTGTGCGTGCGTGCATGTGTGTGTGCGTGCGTGCATGTGTGTGTGCGTGCGTGCATGTGTGTGTGCGTGCGTGCATGTGTGTGTGCGTGCGTGCATGTGTGTGTGCGTGCGTGCATGTGTGTGTGCGTGCGTGCATGTGTGTGTGCGTGCGTGCATGTGTGTGTGCGTGCGTGCATGCGTGTGTGCGTGCGTGCATGCGTGTGTGCGTGCGTGCATGTGTGTGTGCGTGCGTGCATGTGTGTGTGCGTGCGTGCATGTGTGCGTGCGTGCGTGCATGTGTGTGTGCGTGCGTGCATGTGTGTGTGCGTGCGTGCATGTGTGTGTGCGTGCGTGCATGTGTGTGTGCGTGCGTGCATGTGTGCGTGCGTGCATGTGTGTGTGCGTGCGTGCATGTGTGCGTGCGTGCATGTGTGTGTGCGTGCGTGCATGTGTGTGTGCGTGCGTGCATGTGTGTGTGCGTGCGTGCATGTGTGTGTGCGTGCGTGCATGTGTGTGTGCGTGCGTGCATGTGTGTGTGCGTGCGTGCATGTGTGTGTGCGTGCGTGCGTGCATGCGTGTGTGCGTGCGTGCATGTGTGTGTGCGTGCGTGCATGTGTGTGTGCGTGCGTGCATGCGTGTGTGCGTGCGTGCATGTGTGTGTGCGTGCGTGCATGTGTGTGTGCGTGCGTGCATGTGTGTGTGCGTGCGTGCATGTGTGTGTGCGTGCGTGCATGTGTGTGTGCGTGCGTGCATGTGTGTGTGCGTGCGTGCATGTGTGTGTGCGTGCGTGCATGTGTGTGTGCGTGCGTGCATGTGTGTGTGCGTGCGTGCATGTGTGCGTGCGTGCATGTGTGTGTGCGTGCGTGCATGTGTGTGTGCGTGCGTGCATGTGTGTGTGCGTGCGTGCATGTGTGTGTGCGTGCGTGCATGTGTGTGTGCGTGCGTGCATGTGTGCGTGCGTGCATGTGTGTGTGCGTGCGTGCATGTGTGCGTGCGTGCATGTGTGTGTGCGTGCGTGCATGTGTGCGTGCGTGCATGTGTGTGTGCGTGCGTGCATGTGTGTGTGCGTGCGTGCATGTGTGTGTGCGTGCGTGCATGTGTGTGTGCGTGCGTGCATGTGTGTGTGCGTGCGTGCATGTGTGTGTGCGTGCGTGCGTGCATGCGTGTGTGCGTGCGTGCATGTGTGTGTGCGTGCGTGCATGTGTGTGTGCGTGCGTGCATGTGTGTGTGCGTGCGTGCGTGCATGCGTGTGTGCGTGCGTGCATGTGTGTGTGCGTGCGTGCATGTGTGTGTGCGTGCGTGCATGTGTGTGTGCGTGCGTGCATGTGTGTGTGCGTGCGTGCATGTGTGTGTGCGTGCGTGCATGTGTGTGTGCGTGCGTGCATGTGTGTGTGCGTGCGTGCATGTGTGTGTGCGTGCGTGCATGTGTGTGTGCGTGCGTGCATGTGTGTGTGCGTGCGTGCATGTGTGCGTGCGTGCATGTGTGTGTGCGTGCGTGCATGTGTGCGTGCGTGCATGTGTGTGTGCGTGCGTGCATGTGTGCGTGCGTGCATGTGTGTGTGCGTGCGTGCATGTGTGCGTGCGTGCATGTGTGTGTGCGTGCGTGCATGTGTGTGTGCGTGCGTGCATGTGTGTGTGCGTGCGTGCATGTGTGTGTGCGTGCGTGCATGTGTGTGTGCGTGCGTGCATGTGTGTGTGCGTGCGTGCATGTGTGTGTGCGTGCGTGCATGTGTGTGTGCGTGCGTGCGTGCATGCGTGTGTGCGTGCGTGCATGTGTGTGTGCGTGCGTGCATGTGTGTGTGCGTGCGTGCATGTGTGCATGTGTGCGTGCGTGCATGTGTGTGTGCGTGCGTGCATGCGTGTGTGCGTGCGTGCATGCGTGTGTGCGTGCGTGCATGTGTGTGTGCGTGCGTGCATGTGTGTGTGCGTGCGTGCATGTGTGCGTGCGTGCGTGCATGTGTGTGTGCGTGCGTGCATGTGTGTGTGCGTGCGTGCATGTGTGTGTGCGTGCGTGCATGTGTGTGTGCGTGCGTGCATGTGTGCGTGCGTGCATGTGTGTGTGCGTGCGTGCATGTTGTGCGTGCGTGCATGTGTGTGTGCGTGCGTGCATGTGTGTGTGCGTGCGTGCATGTGTGTGTGCGTGCGTGCATGTGTGTGTGCGTGCGTGCATGTGTGTGTGCGTGCGTGCATGTGTGTGTGCGTGCGTGCATGTGTGTGTGCGTGCGTGCATGCGTGTGTGCGTGCGTGCATGTGTGTGTGCGTGCGTGCATGTGTGTGTGCGTGCGTGCATGCGTGTGTGCGTGCGTGCATGTGTGTGTGCGTGCGTGCATGTGTGTGTGCGTGCGTGCATGTGTGTGTGCGTGCGTGCATGTGTGTGTGCGTGCGTGCATGTGTGTGTGCGTGCGTGCATGTGTGTGTGCGTGCGTGCATGTGTGTGTGCGTGCGTGCATGTGTGTGTGCGTGCGTGCATGTGTGTGTGCGTGCGTGCATGTGTGTGTGCGTGCGTGCATGTGTGTGTGCGTGCGTGCATGTGTGTGTGCGTGCGTGCGTGCATGCGTGTGTGCGTGCGTGCATGTGTGTGTGCGTGCGTGCATGTGTGTGTGCGTGCGTGCATGTGTGTGTGCGTGCGTGCATGTGTGTGTGCGTGCGTGCATGTGTGCGTGCGTGCATGTGTGTGTGCGTGCGTGCATGTGTGTGTGCGTGCGTGCATGTGTGCGTGCGTGCGTGCATGTGTGCGTGCGTGCGTGCATGTGTGCGTGCGTGTAATGAGCGCATCAAAAAGGGACGAAGGCGATAAGAGCATGTCGCCCATCCCACCTCTAACCCGACAAAACAAGTTGCACACGGCCCGGCCTGTGTATTCGGTGTGTACCACCAGACCCCTTCCCAGGCTGTATACGGCAGATAGACACTCACCGTCTAACGTATATACGTGGGTGTGCTAAACGCACAACACATCTTTTCCAACATAGACGTAATCACGTGCGGGGGCATCGCGCGTGGGCATCGTCGCATGGGGAGACAGTAGTGTGAAGGCGTGGGGAGTAAGAACCTGGGCGCATGGGGAGCATAGAGGAGGCGGGCGAGGGAGGGTGAGCAGCGTACCTCCTTTTGACAACAAGGAAGGGGAAGAAGCGCCAGCAGGTATTGGAAAAATCCGGCTTCTGCCAGTGGCGAATCAAATCGTATCTGCTCTTGTACGCCGCCCAGAATTGTTGACACACAACTGGCGGAAGATCGGAAACGTCCTTTCTTCCCTGGCCCTTCATGTACTGCGTGTGTGCGGCGGGTGGTCCAGGTGGCAGGGGGGAGGCGGGGTGGGGGGGGGGAAACGCAGGGGGAGGGGGAGAGGGAGAGGGAGAGGGAGAGGGAGTGGATACTGAGGAAGAATAATAGAAAATAGTAGAGAGAGAGAGAGAGAGTGGAAAAACCGGGAGGACCTTTTCGCTGACGTCGCCAACTGGGACCTCTGCCCACTTCGCGACAGCAGACAGCCACCCCTCGCCCGCCACCCCCCCAAACCACTTCGCGAATCATTCACGATCTGTATGCTGACCCCGCTTCTCCACATCGCTAAAAACCCTGACTCCTCACCTGGATGGAAGCTGCTGATGTTCCTCCCGCGAATTCTGTTGCGCACTTCGTCAGCTCGCAGACCAGACTGGAAGGCGATGGGCGACAGACTGACGCGTTTTCGCCAAGGCATGTGGCGCGCCCTGTATGACGAGGCGGCAGGGGCGGTTGCCAGTAATCCGCAACCACGCCACGTACCTGACACCACTGGAAAGCTGGCGAGGGCAGAGGGATTAGCAAAAAGAGGGAATCTGGCAAAGTCCCTCCAGTCACTGACGGCCACACCTGTCAGCACGCCAAGCGCTGAAGTCCTGAGCGCACTTACGTCCAGGCACCCAGGGGCCTCCCTGGCTATCCCGGACTGGGTGCAGGGCTTCGCACCAGAGAATCTACCCTCAATCGCAGCTCGCGACTTCAGGCGGCTGCTAGCCCGATGCCCCAACGGCGTAGGAGCCGGCCCCTCAGGAACCACGTTCGAGCACCTGAGAGATGCGGCCCTTGGGAACGCCGACGTCTTCCTGCAGCTGCACGCACTCACCAACACAGCGTTAGCAGGAAAATTGAGCGCAGACGCGGCAGATTTACTCACAGCGTCGCGCCTTCTAGCTTTCTCGAAACCCCAGGGCGGAACGAGGCCCATAGCTGTAGGAGAATGCCTGCTGCGAATCGTCGCCAAGGCGGCCCTGTTCCTGGCAGCCCCTGCAGCGCGTGAGCACTTCTCCCCACTGCAGTTTGGAGTCGCAATCGCGGGGGGCATTGAGGCCGCTGTTCACGCGGCCCGCACTTACCTGGAGGAGTTCCCTGGTGCAACGGCCCTCCAGATCGACCTCGCAAACGCCTTCAACGCAGTGGAGCGAGCGGCGGTTTTCGAGGGTCTGAAGGGGACGAAACTGGACACCCTGGTCCCCCTCGTCCGCCTCTCATATGGCCGCCCTTCAGCCCTCTACCTCATATGGTAAGCACTGACGAGCTCAATGGCTTTGAGCAGCACTGACGAGCTCAATGGCTTTGAGCAGCACTGACGAGCTCAATGGCTTTGAGCAGCACTGACGAGCTCAATGGCTTTAAGCAGCACTGACGAGCTCAATGGCTTTGAGCAGCACTGACGAGCTCAATGGCTTTAAGCAGCACGTTGCCCCCGTGGGAGTGGGCGATGACGTGGATGCGCGCTGAGGGGTCGCCACGCCCTATCACGTCCAGCAGACACGCCAGCTGTGAGAGTGCATGCAGGCAGGTAAACGGCAAGATTCATGGAGGCAGGATAAGGGGCCAAAACAGGGAAGACAACAGAGAGAGGGAGGAGGGAGAAGAGGCAGAGGAGGGGGGAGAAGAGGAAAAGGGAGAAGGGGTGGTAGGTGGAGAGGGGGGAGGAATGGGGCAGTGGGGGGGTGGGGGGGAGCGGAGAAGAGGCGGATGGGGGAAATTTGGAGAAAGGGACAGGAGAGAAGCAAGGAGTGGTGGTGACTGTGCTGACTGGCGTCTAGAGGTGAAGGGGGAAACCGTGTGCTGACTGGGGGTGAACTGGGGGCGAAGACCTGATATTGCGATTTAGTTTGGATCTCGAGGGAAAAGAAAAACGACAGGAGCATATGCAGACTTCCTTTGGAGACATATACAGCGTTGATTACTTTGTGTGCGGCTTCGATGCGTCCTTCATGCCTGTTCGTGCCGTCCCAGTGAAACGGATACGGGATGCCAAGTCGCGGAGGCGGCTCCGCCGGCAGCTCGCGCCACACGCATCCGTCGCCGAGCGGCCCCTTCGCGAGAAGCGCGCCGAGCCTGCTGCAGAAGTTGATTTCGCCGCGCGCCGCGGGCTGGTACCACGGCGTGCGCGGTCCGCCGGCCGGCGGCGCGAACGTGCCGTGGACGACGATGACGTAGTGCGTTTCGTGCTACACGTCGAACGACACCGTGCGACAGCTCGCTGGCGCTTCGGGGTCCGCATCCTCGTTATTACGAAACGGACCGCTACATGATGCAAGATGCACACACCCGCGAGAATTACCGGAGCCTGTCAATTTATCAAGTGACATTTCTGTTGGGGTGGATCGCCGCTGCCCTATTACTTACCGGCTTACGCGCTCGTCTTAAGGGTGGTAGAACAACATTAGGACCGGTGGGAATGTCGTCGTAAGGTGGGAACCCACAGCTAGAGCGGTGAGGCGGAAGCCTAAGAAGCCAAGAACTATGTGGGAAAATCGGAATGGGGGAAACATAGGGAATGGCGAATGCCAATAGACTTTTTGCCGTAACCTAAAATGTCAATCGCAACCGAACCGTGCTCGGTGCGGATGCGACAGGACAGGTTTCGGTTTTGGTGGTTACCGACTTCGGTTCCGCATGCGACATGAGACGAAACGCGTAGAGAAACTAAGGCAGCCATGGATTCTGTGATTGACTTCGGAGAGCTCAATGTCCTTCGATTTCTTGCATTGGAATCCACGAAGCCAGATCTTCAGCAAAAACCAAAATGGATACACGCCATAAGGACGCTTCACCTCTAGCAAACATTTCAGGTTCGCAGGGTGGTCGGGATCTCACACCGATCCGACAGGGTCGATCAACACACCGGTGTGCCGAAAAGCAAATTTGCGATCGCCAGGTCAAACCGAGCCATAGGTGACAAGAAACAAAATTACGGGGGAAAATTGCCCAACTGCCGCGAGCCAGAGGTGACACCTTCGTGCTCAACTGTTTATTTCAAGCTCTCGAAATTGCGCGATATTGGCAACCATGTTTCTGGCGTCATCGCGAAATCACTGACAGGATCGATCAGTTAGAAGTTCAGAGAGGTAACACGTTCTAGGTGAATTAATTTCATTTCCAATCCTAACCTAGGCATTTCCTATGCATCTTCTCTTCTGTTTCGCCCAGCGATTCCAAGGCCTTTCCAAGGCCTGTTTCGTGTCGCTCCCTAAGCGTCAATTAAAAGCGCCGCGCCCACCCTATTCCCTTTAATCTCTTAGCGCGCTCCCTGCAGCTGTTCGTCGCGCGCCCTGCTTTCCTCCGTCGCGCTTCCTGCACGGCCTCCCCACCCTTCGCGCGCGGCGCGGTAGTTTTCAGTCCGCATACTGACCGATCATGGCAGCTCCACCTCCCGATCTACTGACCGACTCTGTCCCCGCCGCGCCCACTGGCCTGGCCGACGGTGGCTTTCCGGGAGGGCTGCCTGGAGGGCGCGCGCCTGATCCCGGCGGGGTAGCGGGGCGCGCAACGGGTTTGACCGCCATGGGCTTCTCGGCGGGCGGGCGGCGCAATCCGTTGCGCGGAAAGAAGGCGGGCACGCCCGCCGTTGGCACCACCGAACGCGGACTGATCTCCGCGGAGCAACCAGCAGCGGTTACTGTGCACGCGGCGAAGAAGCATGTAGGAGGCATGTGGGAGGAGAGGCATGTGGGAGGAGGGGCATGTGGGAGGAGGGGCATGTGGGAGGAGGATAGAAGCATGTAGGGGGAAGCCCCTTCTCCCAGTTGCGTGCATCGCTTCCTCGTTTCTCGCTCAACCGTCCTCATCCTCCTCTGCCCTTACCTCTCTTTTCCTCCTCTGCCCCTTCCTCTCCTCCTTCGCCCTGTCCTATCGGCCCTCCTCTCCCTTGCGCCCCTCCTGCGCGGCCCGGCGTGTGTCAGCTCGTGTCGTACGGCCAGCTCGCCACGGCTCTCAAGGAGGCAGCCGGATCCACGGACCAGGTGAGCTCCACGCATGGCATGGCATGGCATGGCCGGGCCATGGATCATGTGAGGCATGGCCGGGAGCACTAGCATATCTTCTGGGGCCACTGTCGCTCGGCTGTTGGCCAGATGGCAGCTGTGCGCCGTTGTGTGATGCACTTGCTCCTTCTCGTGCACAGCCTTGGCTAGCCACCTAGCGTCTCATCTCCACGTTTCTATATTGTGGGATCCACATGTCCTACACGTGACCACTTGTCGCTTCACTCGTGCTCTCTGGATGCTGCAACGACTGTTTGCATATCTCTCCTGTCTTTTGTTTCTTCTGTGGGGAGAGCAGAAGAAGCGGCAGCAGCTGGTGGCGCTTGTATTCCCCAAGCTCGCTGTGTACAACTCCGTGGACCCCTCTCTCGCCACCGCTCTGCTGCTCGTAAGTGCCACCGCTCTGCTGCTCGTGAGTGCCACCGCTCTGCTGCTCGTGAGTGCCACCGCTCTGCTGCTCGTGAGTGCCACCGCTCTGCTGCTTGTGAGTACCCACGCTGCTGCTGCTCCCATAGCCCGACCATGCCTTGCTCTTGCTCTTGCATGCTCTGGATTTCCAATACTTTCACTTCATGTGATGTGCCATCACATTCCTAAAACCTAACTTCCCAGAGCCCCAATTCGCTACTCTCAATGTCCTGGATTGGCCATTTATTCTCCTGCACCCTTCTTATCGATGGCATTTCCATGCTGCTTGTTTGTCCTGGCATTGAAACACCTGGCTGGCTTGTCATGGCATCTCATTGCATCGTATCGCATTGCCTGACATGGCATGGTATGGCATGGCTTGGTGGGGCTGTGGGCATGGCATGGTGGGGCTGTGGGCATGGCATGGTGGGGCTGTGGGCATGGCGAGGGTGGGCGTGGTGGCATGGCGTGGCAGCTGCTGCAAGGGTCATCGGACGTGGTGGTGCTGCGCTACTGCTACTACTTCCTCGCTCGCATCCTCACTGAGAGCGCCAACGCTGGCAGCTACAACGAGGGCGGCGGCGTGCCCACCCCCAACTGGGACACCCTGGCTGACGTCTCTGCTGGTGCCGCCTCCCTCTCCCTCCCTCTCCATCCCCCTCCTTCCCTTCCACATGCCATCCGCGCCCACAATCTGGCAAGCAAGCCTGCTACTCTCACGCTGCTCCTCATGACGCCTGTTGCGCTCTCCCTCAACTTCAGTCAGTGCCTCCACTGCCATTGTTTTGTGCTGCGTGCATGTGAATGGACCTGCGTGCATGGTGCGTGGTGCATGGCAGATGGGTCACAAGCGGCCACAAGGGCAGAGCTGCTCTCTCTCATACTCTCTCGCCTCGCCACTGAAGCATCCACCCCTGATGTCGCTGGTACTCCCCTCACTCACTCTGCTATTAACCATGAAATCATTCTCTCTTCTTCCCATGATGCATTCCTCCTGTGCCACCACCCTCTCATCTTC